CATTCTAAATTCCACGCAGCAGCACTTTAGTGTGGTGCATCAACGATGGCTGTAGGTCCACCCAAGGGATGATTACACAACACTGCTCTCCTATGACATTTACAACATCTTCTGTCATCTTAATCCCTTTTCCCGCTGAGTAAGGTTAGGAGGATGCTCCTTCACCGCGGCAACTCCTGATTAACTCGACTAAAGATGTAATCCTATTCCACCGACTCAAATAAACATGTTTATTCTACTAATTCTATTCCTGGGCTAGATCCCGGGGATGGATTTGAAATGAGTTTTCTGAATGGGTGCACAGGCATGCAGAGCAGGGCAGGGCATATCAAGGAGGCTTGACGCACAGAGGCAAGAGGGAAGGAGTGAAATGAACAACCTCAGCCACAGGGGTAAACACTGATGTTGCTGGACATGGGGTCCAGCTCTTGACTTGTTGTGTGTGTGCATATGTATTTACATGCACATACACATGGTTCAGTCACATGTTTATGTTTGCCTGTATCAAACTCTTATGTATCTAGCTCTTAATTAGCACCCTGAGGTCGTGTAGCCTTTTTATAGCCTGCCTAATATGACATAAATAAGACTTAAACATTGAAAATCAAGTGGTTAAATTGCATACCATTTAACCGCCTTGGTCGTAATCCACCAGGACCTATACTGCATATCATACCTCTCTCTTTCCCTTTGTGTTCTTGTTGTTATGCTGTCAACTGTCCAATAAAGGCGAAAATCCAAATCTGAGATAGCACTGTGTTATAAAAAATTTGGCTTTGTAAGCGTGAGTATGTTGCAATTTTTTACTCATTTGAGCCAACTCTGAAAGGTTATCACAGTGGGAATAATTGGCTCCTCTGTCTTGATGTTTCCCAAGTAAACAGAAGAATTAACATAATTACATTAGCAAGCTGACTTTGAATTGTTCTGTGCAAAAAGAAAGCCAGGTTCAACAACTTGCTTGACTACCTTGACTACTATGTCGGACCCTGCTGTGCCAACGTGGTGGTCTCATTGGAACTGATGAGGAGGAAGTTGAAGTTTTGACAGTGCTATTGTTGGTCTGAACACAGCCTTAAGGAAGCACTATACTCCATCAGAACTGCTTGCTGGATGGTCCGTTAGCTTAAGAACATCCTACCATTTCTGTAACTTTGAGAAACAAGCAATCTGACATTCACACCCACTTCACACAGTAATTGGTCAGTGCGTTGGCGAGACCGGAGACTGGAGTCTTGGTTTGAACACCTCTCTGTAGCACTCTTTTTTTCCTTTTCTACACATCTAATTCTATCACTGTTAACGTATACAACACTATAAATGCCCTCCAGGACAGACTGTCTGAAAATGAGTACCCCCATGTTTCAACAATATCACGTCTCCCCACCTTTAATGACAGCTGGCCTTTCCCTCCACTTTCGAGTATGGCAGTTCAGATCAGCTATAAACACTTGACTTTGTACAAACCAGTTTGACTTCAGTCAACCAGTCCACCAGTCAATATGGTTAAGGCTAAACAAAGATTAGTCATTAAGTCATGACTGTCCATATCAGCTGTTATGAAACAACAATACTTGAGACTATGATGTCTCCCACTGTGTTGCGGACTTGAGGCGGAATGATCTAAAGCTTCGTCACCAGAAGCCTTTGTCAAGTATATGTTGAGTGCAACTGCTGTGCCTAATTAGTACAATTAGAAGTGATATGAATCTGTATTTGTATCTGTGTTTAGTTGCATTTTCCAAACATTTACATCTGAACAACAAATGTTCGCGTAAATGAATGTGTTTGACCGAGCCACACACCTTCACTACCCGATGATGTAATCTGTCTTAAAGAGGGCATCAGATTCCCTGTCCAACATGATGTAACTATCCCCAAGACTCTTGTTTCCTGTCTTCTACCTCTTTCGAGTAGAGGAGTAGTGTCAGCGAAAGCCAAACACTTTCTGACACGACACCTTGTTCAAGCATTTGCTTTCCAGGCTTGAATTTAAAAGAACATGCAATTCATTTTACAGACAAACATAGACAATGCTCCTCAAACTGATTATGTTGTAGAATTTGAACTAAAAGCAGCCGTTATTGAGTTTACACTATATACTGCATATAGAAACTGGTTAAACCTTCCTGTACAATGTAAATCAAAGTACTTGCCATTTTTAAGTATTATCAGTACAGAACATTGGCAGATTTGTTTTCTTTATTGTCTTGGGCTGACTTCGCTGAACATGGCCAAGTGAAAGTGCCTTCCAAAGCAATGTTAAAAATGGGGAGAGGCACTCTCCAAAGTGCTAGTTTCTGAAAGAGCTTCTTGTCTTCTCATGTGTTATAAATTATTAACTACTTGACCTACATTCTCTGTCTTAGCGAGGTTGGTAGAGCACTGGAACAGAAAACAGTGACACTGCAGAGTTGTTTTGATTTCTCTCAAACGTAACATCGTAAATTATAAGTGATGGTGCTGCAGTGAGCTTTGTCCAGTCCACAGGGACAGCTTCACTTGCACCGCAGAGAAATAAACACATTTTAATAAGATCCAGGACTTTTTAGCAAACTGTGACAAATTTAAAAATGAATCAGTATGCACTATGCACACTAATCATCTCTAGCTATCTTAGAAGTGATAAAAACACAACACAAATAGGATGGTACTTGACATGCGTATACATGCCAATTTAAAGTCCTGCATGTGTTACTTTCATTTTCAATTACTCTATTGTTTATTTTTTGATATTCATCGGTATATAATCACCTGACAACAAGAATTGTGCTTTTGTTACTTTTAAATGAGCTATTTTAATCTACAGAGGGATTGAGTTCTCTTCCCCGGAGTACACCATGTTGAACCACCATGTTTCTACAGTAGCCCATAACGGACAAACCAAACACCGGCTCTAGATAGGGCCTTTCATGTCTTTCGTGTTTTTCCTACTTGCTTTAAAGGTAAGCGGTATTCAGTTGGTTACAATTTGCAACTTCACCACCTGATCCCACAAAATCCTACACACTGTTTCTTCAAATGAAACCATCGGAGCGGAAATGCTTTTGCGGTAAAGTTGCAAATAACTTATAGACATCAGAAGGGCCCCAACCAAACATTTTCTCTTTTTGTGAAGCGTCACAACCAAAAACATGCTTATATTGTGTATTTCATAAGCTCATTGTATGTTTTTTAGGTAAAATATAAGTCTGAAAAATAATCAAATGCAGTTGAAATATAAAGTAGCAGAAAATGAAACCACTTAAGTAAAATATCTCAAAATTGCTTTTAAATACGGTACTTGAGTCTAAATGTATTTAGTAACTTTCCACCACTGAATCCTATCTGGCTATATCCTACTGTGCTCTGTGAGGCAGAGCGCTATCATCACTGTCTTCAAGGAGAAAGTATTTCAAAGTATTGTATTTCAGCCACAGTACAGGGCTGTATAGGATGTTTTGGCTGCTGTTGCAAAATCTGATCTGACCTTGAGTGTTTAGAAGTGCAGGTTTTCTCCCTAATTCTGGCAGACATATTAGTTATAGAAGCCTCAGTGGATATGGACATGACTCATAATTTATCTTTCAGTGCCACAAGTCAGTGAATCACAATTGAATGCACTGAGTTGTCCTATAGCAGACTGAACTGCTCAAGTCACAAATTGTATCGATGTTTTATTTCATGCTTTTTGCATTTGTGAAGCAGTAAGAAAAGAAACGAAAAGCTTTTGGAATTTGATTCTACTGCTTAAATGGCATGCATTACACTTACTCTGGTATCTTACAGTAACAGTGATCATGAGAGGTGATCTTTTTTGTATGATATAAATAGGAATCTGTGAAATTGTTTGATGAAAATAAAGTGCAATCATAATTTGGCAATTTTATGGTTTTATGGAGAGGATAAAGTATCTTTCTCCATAACTATTATATCTAACAAAGACACACTGTTAAAATATTCATCTGTGATATCCTGGATAAGACAAAGACAAGAAAGGGATGAAGAAACGAATAAAACTAGAAAAAAAAACATTCAGCACTTGAACAAACTGTGCATCCGCAGGCAGCTTCAGCACCCGCCTTCCTCTTTTACTGCTTTAAAAGATGAATCTCAAGAGATGCATGAATGAAACTGTACAGGGGGATACGCTGAGAGGATGGCTGTGTTATAGCTGTGCTCACTGTATATCATTACATACATTATATTTCAAGCTTTGAAGCAGGTGGCAATATCTTTACACCTGTACGTCAGCGGTCAGCAACAACATCAGAGCAAGAAGGACAACTTGTACAAGACATTTCTTGAGCTTAAAGGGCACAAATAGAGCTGTTTTTGTAAAGGGGAGGGGGGGCCCTCAAGTAGCCTAGTGAGAGAAGAATAACAGCTGTGATCAAAGCGCTCACACCTCAGCTGATTTGGCCCTTCCACTGCACAAATGTTGCACTAAAATCTGTAAAATATCAGAAGAGAGAGACCCTGGGATTCAATTGCGCAAAACAGGACTTTGCTGTTTCACATGTGTCTATTTTTGGGTCCTTAACATGGGAAAATATGAGAAGTCACGCTGCAGAACAACAACAACGCTCTGCATGTGGCTCTTCCTGTCTTTTTAAACTGTGCTATCAATGTCAGTACATATAAATATTGGCTGGCAAACACAACGTGACACATACAAATCCACTTCTATAAATCTCAGAAGAGGAACAGGAGACACTTTCAGGTCCAACAAGCACAACATGTGGACAATGTATATAAAACGTCCTGTAATGGCTGTCAGAGATGAATAACCTGATCTAGGTAGGTATGCAGGAGTGCCACAGGCGCATACCAATCATACCTGCATGGGAACACACACACACACACACACACACACACACACACACACACACACACACACACACACACACACACTCACACACTGGACTGCACTGGAAAAGCCTTTGAGGGAAGAGAGCCAGTCCCGCTGCATGCATGTGACACCCTCTCCTCCCTCCCTCCCTTCCTCCCCTCCAACATACCTCTCATTGGATTCTGGATCCACAAGATGCCTCCGATAAGGTGAGGAGATTGGCCGAGCATCCTGAGTGACTGACTGTCACTGTCACTTTTTTTCTAAACTCTAATGTCCGGAGCACCTCAATTGACTGTTAACTGACAATCACGGGGAGAAGCGGGTGACTTCACCCGGTCCACATGTCACACCACCTGCTGCCAGATGAGCAGCCTCGACCAGTCTGGTTCTTGTGGAACAGGCTGAGCGCACACACAGCGCTCTGTTGCGCCACAACACAGAACAGCCTGGTGGATATTATTCTCTAAAAGATTTATTTCTTAGGAGGAAAGAAAAAAAAAAAGAGTCCCTGGTGTAAAATCTCAGCACCTGCGGGGCTCTGGTATCCTCCAGAGGACACACAGTGCGCGCCACACCGGTGATGATTATGCAAAAGAACAAGACGCTCCTCGGTCGCAGACCTGTTAACCAGCGTTGTCTCCAATCGCAGAGCTTACGACCAGGCGCACACACACACACACACACACACACACACACACACACACACACGCACACACAGCAGCAGCAATATAAATACACACACAGAGAGAGAGAGAGAGAGAGAGGCTGCGCGTTAACACGAGTCTTTATGGTATAAGCAGCAAGACAGTGAATGGCAGCGGTTTGTACATTGTAATAATAGAAGATGACCAGGACAGTGTACGTAATGCGGAGAGAGCAGAGGCTGCAACATCACCCAATCACAGGCTTTCACAGTTGACCCGGCTGTGTCTGGGTTGAGCCATTCACATCACACAGCTCCAATCATCAACTATATCTTAGTATCTTTAAAAGGAGACACAAACAAAAACCGGCAATGCATCGTGGACAGCGCAGGGTGAAGCGCCTTACCTTCGACAGCCATTGTGCTACTCCACAGATTTGGGCATCACTCGCAAGGGAGCAGGCGAAATGTAAAAGTCAACGCTCTCTCATTGTACCTTGTTTGGCGTGTGTTATCACTTTGCTGCGGGCAAGCCGGAGCGCACAGCTGCTGCCGCGCCTCGAAGGATCCTGGGAAGTGTAGGCTCAGCAGCAAACGCTTTCTGGAATATGAGGGAAGGGCAAGTTTCATCAGTTTTGCAGAGAAGGCAATTTGAAAGCACCCCCCTTTCTCCCACACGCTCAGGGAGAGCCTAATGCCCTAATGGAAAATCACTATATAAAGCTCACACATCAGTTCTATAGGTATGGTTATACAGCAACTCAAAATGCTTTAAATTAAAATGCATAGAACAACAACTTATTAAAGAAATGTAATAAATTAATGACAAGAAAATGCAACAAAACCACACACAAACACATGGTAAATAACCAGAGAAAAATAAATGTTTCTTATGCACGCAGTTGCATTGATCATCAGTCAGTATTTTTCAGGGGACATGAACCAAATGCACCCTCACCCGATCTGAATCATAGGTTAAGTCTGAAAACCCACCAGGAATTGTTCTAAATTCATTCAACTCATTGTCTGTTCTGCAGCTGATTAGCTTAGCTTAGCACAAAGACTGGAAATAGGGGGAAACAGCTAGCCTGGCTCTGTTCGAAGACAACAAAATTCACCCACCAGCATGTCTGGAGCTCAATTTACGCTTTATATCTCATTTGTTTAATTGTGAGCGTAAAAATGACAAGATTTTGTTTCAAGGGAGGATTTCAAGCCAGAAACTTGAGAGAACAGACATTACAGTGGTTTCAATCTTCTTCTCGTGTAACTTTCAGCAAGAAGAATGTAAAACTATTCCTTTAAAATACATAGGCTACACCAACAAGTATGTACAAAAGAATATTATAAATTAAATACAAAAAAAAAACCCTGCATCCACCCCACAGACACAAAACACAAATCCAGGCATATGTAGGCGTACAAGGTCTGTTTGGATTAGAGATCCTCAGTAGCATTGTTTAAGCATTCAGTGAGTTAACAAACTTTTTCTGTCAATCTGTTTATTTCTCTCCATTAAAATCTGGGCATGTTTGCAGGGATTACGCACAATATGGTTGTCACACTGTAGTATTCTCTGAAATGAATCTATTTATACTGTACAGAGTAGGCAGGCTGAGTACAAATACTCATTTACAACAACCTCCAACAACAGTTAAATGACTTTACTAGTCTGGGGTAGGTTGCTAGCCAGCCAGCTGTGCTGTGATAGTCTAACCCCTCACTGGGTTAAGGTTGAATCAAAGGTGAAAACAACGCTGACTGCTTCTGTTTCTCTCCACAGGGCAGAATGTAAAGCTATAAAAAACTGTCTGCCTCACATCTGTAGATTCATTTGTGCATATTAATTCTTTTGGTGCAAGCGATAAAACAGTAGTTTATATTTTTAGAATGACTGTGTCAAAATGCCATAATTATCGGGTCTTCAAATTTACAGCTACAGTAAAGACCTGTAAACCTCCTTTGGTATGCTAATTAAAGAGAACCTTTTTTAACATGACACAGGTACTAACTGAAGAAAGTAGACAGTAGCTTTTATAGTGTGTTGTTACTGAATGTGTTGATTGAACAAGCAACTTTCCTTGTAATGTAGTAATACATATGGGCTGTATCAAAAACAACCACTGACCCTGATCATGAGGTCCTTTTATTGAAATGTAAGTGAGCAAAAGGAGGAAGTCTGCATAGTTAGTTAACAGAAATATCTTCAAGGGAAGATACACTACAGGTATTGCAAGTTGGACAGAAAAACAAAGCCACAGGGCCCAGCCTACTTGTCTGGCTGTCTGTCTGCCTCACATGTTTCACTTTATTCGATTGTTTGTTACGGTCAGGCTGGACTGATAAGCAGATAATGTATGCAACGTATGAGGAAGTCTGTCATTTTCAGCATATTTCTTGAGTGCGGTACGTCACATGCTTTAGCTCGCACAGGTGTGGTCACTGTCTTCTTCCTGGTTTCTTCTTTTGTTTTAAGGTCTGCTCAGCCTGAGGGGTTTCCCTGACATGTTCTTTGTCTCCCTGTCCGCAATGATGAGTTTCTGAAAAGAACTGTATTTTCAGGTGTATTGTGTGCAGTAAGTCAAGTACAATTGTTTTACAGTTTCACAGCTATCTTGCATCTAAAACTGTAATAGCAGAACATTGCTGTTTAATGCTCTATAAACTTTTTTTTCACCCAGATCTAACATGGTTGCAACAGAAAATAAATGTTCTGTTTTACTATTTAGCTATACATTTGTTCACAATTAGGTGTTTGTCTGCAGACATTGAGCTGTCCAATATCAAACTATTGTGCTGTCACAACTTTAACTTATTGATCAGGATAATTAAAAGGAACAAATCTTTTTTTTTTTCAGGATCTCTTCTATTTTTTTGGGAAAAAATAAATAATAATAATAATAATAATAATAATAATAATAATAATAATAATAATAAAACCCCAACAAGAAATCAAGGTACAGGAATGGACCTAAAAGGGTATAAATGCTTTGTCACTCCAGTTGTACCCTAGCACGGTACACACACTGTACCTTTACTGTGTAGCCTATTTTATTTCAATAAACCCAACTCTCTATTTAAATCAAGATTTTGTGATCACTGATTTGCTGTAACATGAACCCAGACAAGAAATAGCTGTGATATTTATGATAACTGCACATCACATACCTCCCCATAAAACTGCAACTTGTTGCCAGGCTAGCTTTCTTTCTTTCCCTGCCTGCCTCCAGTCTTTCTGCTGAGCTGAGCTAATTATCTCCTGGCTTCAGTTGCATGGGCAGATATGAAAAGTGAGCACTGTATTTCCCAAAATGTTAAACTATTTCCTTGATGGAGTAAAGGCAAGCCAAGTTAAAGCCTCTGAAAGACTCGCTCTCAATTTTGAAAACTAGTGTTTCCTGGTGTGATGCAGCTAGCCTGCATGTATCCAACGTGTAAAATGTATAATCAGTATTATAAAACACATTGATGACGTGACCAGTTTTGATGTGCAAAAGATTCATTTGTATTAAACATCTTATTTCTTACATATTTCAATCAAAGACAAGAGCATGATATGTACAAATGTAAAGGTAAAATTAAGAAAAAGAATTCTGATTCAGATCAAAGTTGAATATCATAAGCCAGTTAAATGGTGCATGTTTGTGAAAGCATTTTGTTCATACATACATAAAAATCAAGAAGAAAAGGGGAAAGGTAAGCTAAGGTTCTATTGCAGTATAAGTAACTATATAATGCCCTGTGTTACTTTGTGTGGGTGCTCAGATATGTGGTTTAAAACCTGGCCTCAGAACAAAAGGTTCCGGAAAGAATAGTTCTCTCAACCCATGCAATAAACAACAAACAATTTAAAAAAGAGAGATGATTATGGCGAAAATGCATTTCAGGCCAGCAGCTCAGCAGAAGGTTACATTTTCTGACATCTAAATGTTGAAAAATGAATAAAATCCACCACAGAACTGAAATCAGTGCACAGCAGTGTCATTAGCAGATTGGGTAAAGACAGCCCAGTGTGCTCCAATGGAGGTAAGCCCTCCATGGAACCGGCCGCTGATGAAACGCAGCTCAGCCTCGCTGTTGGTGGCATACATGTTGAAGGAGTGACCTGAAGGCTGGCCCGCGTACAGTGAGCGGCCCCTGTTAGAGATTAACACCAGCGACTGCACGTAGTGAGCATACTTCCCGGAAATCTGGATGATGGCTTCATTGTCAAATAATTCAATCACCTTGGGCTCGCCACTTACGTATCCAGCAACGGAGGACCAGATGAAACCATAGCGAAACTGGATGCTGAGGAAGGTAAAAACAAATGTATCAGAAGGATGAAGTGATCTGTCATACTCATTTAATTCATATGACACTTATACAACAACAGAGTAGCTTACAGCCAAAGGAGTAAGAACAGTTAGCATGAGTCAAATCTTCAAATACACCATCTCATGGTGTAAAGTGAAAATCCTGTTGTCTTGTGCTTTGTTTAATAGCCATTGTTTTAACCTAGACATCCTCTCTTAATTAAATCTATATCAATGAATCCCATGAAAAGACCACAGCTGTTTCAGTCATTTACTGAAGCTTTTTTAGAGTTGAAGCTATTTGAAATATTTGTGGCACACTTTTATAAAGATTTAATTTAGGAAAGAAATGACAAGGAAAGGGAAAAATATTGTTTTTTTGGTTAGTTGTTAATAAATGTTGTGTCTCAACATTTTTTCTGCATTAACCCTAACCCTAAACCCTATTATTACAATCTTTCATTAAACTTAACCAAGCACTGGTAAACATTTTTTTAATAATGCTGTTATAGATATTTTGGCGGAAAACAAATTAAATATGTTGTCAGTTAACATTTTGCTGTTATGTTCAATGTCAGCATTTTTGCAACTGGTCTGCATCCCTCAAAATTTTTTTGTTTTGCAAATAAGTATCTGTATAGGTATGTATATGCATATACATGTAATTTCTATGGTTGCATTATAAACATCTATTCAATATGTGTGTGATGAAAACTGTAAAACAAGATTAAATATGTTTGATATTCACCCATAGATATGGCCGTTGTAGACCTCCCACACCCGGACAGCTGTGAGTCTGTCCTCTCCAGTGATACTGTAAGAGCTGCCAGATCCAGACCCCACCGGTGGGGAGAAGGAGTACTGAGGTTGAACTGCAAAGACAAGAGATGAAAACATGAGTAAACTTGTTAAAACTGTTTGTTTTTTGGTACAAAGCTTAATAAAATAATATATATATAATAATTTTAGATTTACAATTAATTAATTTACAGTGTGCAAATAAATGTGCAAACATATTTGAGCATCTGGAAAAGAGCTAATTTGCTATATGCATACTATATTTCAACAGACCGTAAAACTTTACTTTAACACACATTTGACTGATAAATGTAACATGCACACTTACCATCAGCCAAGACAGAAACTGTGAGCAGAGCGAAAAGGAGAATGTGATGCATTCTGTGAAACAAATTGATGAATTAATTATTTAACAATGAATTTTTCCACTCGCAGCAATGAGTGAGCGATTATTGCAGTGTCCAGTGTGGATCTTAGAGAAATAAACAGAAAGATTTCTTACCTGTCTTTTTTTATGTCTTGCACAATGATGAAGAGATACCTGTAAACGATTAAATAAAAAATATTTTTTGTAACACGATTGTTGTAAGATTCTATAAAATTCAGATGATAATCCAAAAAGTATCTATTAAATGATAGCAATAAACAGCAGAGTCAAAACAATCTCATTATTACTCACACACAAATCAAATGTTGAGCATGCAATGAAGATGTCAAGGCTTCAACATCTGTCTGTGTAGCTTCACGTCTTTTATAGTTTCTATTCCTTATGCACCTGTTATATCACTGTGATGCATTCCTGAGCAGCTTTAATGGGTTTTCCCACATGCATATATATATCCTTCTTTTGATCAAGGAAACAAGTTGTGCTTTATCATTGTCACAGCAAACACAAAAAATGTTTTTAGAATTTATCAGAAAAAAATGTTATGCAATCAGTTGATCATAATGAGGTATGTTCTACTGCTTGCCAGGTTACCAGAAACCTATTACGTGATGCATATTTTCAAAATGGAAAGGAATTTACTAAGTTATTTTGATTTTTATTTTAAAGTTCTAGTATGCTTACAAAAACTGGAATGCGGGAGGATATGTCAAAAATACATTGAGAAATTCTTAGGATCAAATTAAAAATTATTGTGTGTGATACCTGGTTGGAAAAAGTAAGCACCAAAATGAATATCCTAAATTTATGAAGCAGAAATTAGAAAATATTATTTTATGGAATTGAAGCACTTTGTTTGTTACAATACTTGTTTGAGTGGCAAATCTGGTGCAGCAATGGATTTGTCAAATAAGCTGTGATCAACAGTTCCTGCTGAAATAAGCTAATGAAATAACAAAATTGTCCCAAAAATGGGAGGTAACAGCAACAAAAAAGCTTCCAAGAAAGTCTCTGAACAATAACTATTCCGCCACAAAAATACCATTACCTGACATTTAGTGGTTGTGGTCATCTATGTTCTCGTTATAAGCCTTGGCCTACAGACTCTAGTAATGGATGCACTGGAATTAGCCAGTGAATGTGTTATGTACTGAAATATATACATGCATATAGCGCAGTCAATCCCAACCTTCTCCTGACTAAGTGACATATATTTTTTTCATATTATATTCAGTGCATAAAAGTGCCAAACAACAAATGAACTCCACAACTAACCCAATAGTGAACACAGTAACTGCAGGAAGATTGTGTCAAACAGGCTGTTGGGATGAATTTTGAGAAGATTATTTCCTGTGAATATTGCATCAGAGATGAGTGTTTGTGTTATCTTTTAAGAACATATACAATTGTCTGTCTGTATTTACATTTTTAACAATTATACTTCTTAGGCTTCTTCTTCTTTTTAAAATAACAAAACAAATTCACTGGTTTCTTCTTCCTGATGCTTAGCCATCGTTCTATTAGCTGTTTGGTTGTTTTTACTTTTTTATTACAGGACAAGGCTGTATAGCAAAGAGCAAAGGTTCTGTGAATATAGCTTGTGTTTAGTTCTTCACCGTGCCATTATCTTGTGAGATTTTTTTTAAAGTTTACATCTTAAATAACAATCTATTTTTGTGTGACTGATTTTGCTCACTGGTTTAACAGGAAGTCTGAGCTTTTTACTTTGATGTGACGTGTGCAACTTTACCAGCTTAAGTGATTTTATAAATGATAAATGGTACCCAACCCCAACCCAAGAGTTGATCTTATGTCCTTGAATGACTTTTCCTTGTCCTGTTTCTGCCAGAGGTCCAGTACATGAAACTGTATTTACTATAAATGCAAAATTCCCAACATGGTTTCCAGGAAGAGGCCTCACAAAAACAGTGACAAAAGAAGTCTCAAGTTCCCGCCAGGAGTGAGAAAGCGCATCAGTAATTGTGCTTCAGTATTTGAATGTTTTTGTGAGGACTCTTCCTGGAAACCAGTTGAGGGAACTCATATACTCTTATGTTATGTCATTTTAGATTAACCTCTAGCAGAAAAGTGTAGAGGAAAAGTCTAAATTCACCACAGTGAAGTGGTTTTCTAGTGACAGGTATGATAAAAACACATGAAGAAATAATAGGTTGGTAATAATTTATAGGCACATCTGTATAGAAAACGGCATCTTCCAAGTACTGTAAATGTAAAACTATTTTTCAGCTTGACAGCTTATCCTTTTCATGGAGTTGTCAGGAATGGCAGGGTTCACTTTTACCATGATTTCCCTGGTGTAAAAGAGTCTGCTCCGTCTTCCCTGGAGGACCAGAGTACCTGCTCAGCAACCACTAGAACCACTTTAACAGTTCTAATGGTGGAACAAGTTATTGTTTTCACATTGGCATTTGATATTGACTGGATGTACTTTTACTATGAAAGATAGGTTACCAGGCTGATAGTTGACACTGACAGTGTTACAAAGCATTTAACTTAACTTAAGATCCTTCATAATTATTTTCTAGTCATATCTCTGGCTGACTACAATTAAGCACAGACATCAGATAGCATATACTAGCATTTACCTATTCTAATCTATTGTGTACTAGATAGTGGAATGATTCAATTGTTGTGTTGCAAAGGAAAAGCCTTTTTGAAATAATGACTGGAAATTACTGAAAACAATTGTGTTAAAATTCTGCACACTTTTTCTTAACCGCCATGATCTGCAAACCAGTACATGCTGCTTTGTTAACACAATAATGTAAAGAAATAATGCATTTTAAACATCTAAACTGTACAATGAAATAATTTTCTACAAAAAAGTATGAATTCAAGAACTTATTTCTTTAAACTTAATTTTGTTAATTATTATTAGTTATTTCTGGAGCAAATACAGCTAAAGAGCATCTACCAGATATAAATTAATCACAGTTATCACATATAGCTTAAAACAATACCAGAATTAGCTTTTTTCACAGAATACTTTTGTAAATGATTTTTCCCTTACAAACCAATTGATTGATTGATTGATTGAGTGACTGACTGAATACTCTAGATGTGAGATATAAGTTCATGATCTTTGTGAAATGCATTTTCCAGCTAATCCAAGAGGGTTTTAAATGGTTTATTAAGTTTAAGAAGTTGGAGAACTTTCTCAGCCCATAAAAGGAACACTTAATCCTTCAGTTTATCAAAATCATCAAATTTGGAGGTACGTGGTTTACACTGGACAAGAAGTCATCTGAAAAGTAACTAAAGCAGACAAATGTACTGAAGCAATATTTGCCTCTGAGATGTAGTGGAGTAGAAGTACCTCAAACAGCATGTTCAATTCGCCTTATTTGTCACACACTAAAACAGACGACTAACATTGTAACTAACCGTATGATACAAACTGTAACAAATTCTACTCAACACTCAATAACTGGAAGTGAAAAAGAAAGTTTTCCTTATTCCCCCAAACATTCATAGTCACCCTTTACATTAATCATAACAGGCTCAGTCTAACAGGCTGTGAGATTTAAAAGTGCTGTGGTCTGCTCTGTTCCTCTGCATTGTACCTGGCGCAGTATAATGAATGCTGAGCTGAGTTCTTCAGGCGATAAAACCCAATCCGCATTTGAATTACTGTGCTACACTATATTGCAAAGCTGCTGCATGGTTATTTGGTACATTAACACATAATCAAGTATCTCATTAATATAAGCCATAAAGAAAGTGTTAAAGAGACACATATGAGAATCTGCAAGCAACTCTTAAGCAGCCAAAGGCTAGAACGTTATCTCTCCAGAGCTCCTGAATTAAAAGTTTAAAGTCTTAGCGGATTTCTCAAAGCATGTGCACGACACAGCTCAAATACCCACAACACTGACAGAAAGTGTCTTCAAGTATCTACAAAAATAGCAGCAAAATATTCTTCAGATAATCCACACAGACTCATCCGCCAAGCTTTGTAGTCTCCAAATTCCTTTGATATTGTTCTTAAAGTGTCCACTGAATAGACCCAGGTCAAATTAAATCCTCCTCTTAGCCCTGCTTGATGACTGAGGTTAGGTTCCAGGTTCCATTGTGCAAGCCAACTAGCTGTAAGAGGATTTCCAGTACAACTTTGACCCAGGTGTTAACATCACACCAGCAGAGTAATGATCACTCCATCATCCTGGCCTTGCCATAGCATCTCCCCTTCAAACGCCACCTTCCTATGTTTCCTGGCTCTCATCAGAATACCCACCACCTTATCAGAGATCCGAACGTATCTGTCAAACAGCTGTCCAAACGTGACCCGGGTCTTTCCGTCTGGGTCCGGATCGGCCATAGTCCTGATCACGTAACACATGTCATCTATCTCACGGTGTATGTGTTGCTCTGCACGTTTGGCCCTTTCCGCTGTTTGGGTACCCTCCTTGGGGCGTCCATAACCTTCTTGACCCTTTTGGAGGCGGAGGGACATGGAGTAATCATAGTCAAAATATTCACTGAAGGGGTTTAGTTTTTGGTTCACTGTGTGTTCTGAGGCCCAGTTCTGCCAGCGGCTCTTGAGGTTTCCCACAGCACTGTATTTCTTGGAGAGGGCGTTGATCTTGTTGGCATCCTCAGTATCCTTTTTGTACCTAGGAGGGATGTCAGATCACATTACAATTAAATAAAAAATACAGTGCACAGATACTGAGTATCTGTTTTGATCCTGCAAGGGGAGCTGCAAAAATTCAACAGCAAGAAGTTGTCGCTTTTTTTAAAGTTTGTTAGTCTTAAGGGTAAATGCTGCCCTAATAGACAGTTTCCTGAGTGACGTGATCATGAGATGTGTGTGTAGAAAACAAACCAGAGTAATTGAGAGCATTATCAACATGAACATTTTTTTAACTGCCTCACAACAGTGGAAAAGCTCATTATACCAAGGAAAACCTCCCTGTTGGTTAGCATTTAGTGATCCATGGTTTTGCACAGGAACTAATGAGGAAGAAAAAGGTATAAGTCAAGACAGCTCACACTGTTATTATGGCCCTGTTTACACCTGGCCTTAACATGCGTCTTGAGTTATCACAGTACAGGTGTGAAAGCACCCAAGACACACTGAAGATACTGCAAATGTATCCTGGGCCACATTGAAGGACGGCCTACTCAAATGACATCGCCTGTGTAAGCAGAAGTACGTTCTAATTTGTGCGCCACTGCCGCCATATTAAAGTGTGACACAACAAGAAGAAACCAACAGGCAAAAATTAATTCTCATGGATGGAGTAGGAACTGACCACAGCTGCTCTACTTGAATGGAGTCTACTTATGGAGTTTCCTGATGGACAGATAGCTTTACTTGTTGCTAAAGTAACAACTAACTGTCATGAGCTAGTTTGCTCAGTTAGCTGTGCTGCGAATGGCTCTCTTAAAAGCTGACTATGGAGTGTTGGTGTTTTCACTGCCAGTGTAGTGGGTTGGAAACGACATATGTTATGTTTTGTTAATAATTGACTTATTCTAACATTTTTAGTCTTTACATCAAGGTAGTACACTGTGACGTCAGTAGATGGTGCTCTAGTGCTGCTGTGGATCCATTAGGGAGCCTGTAGCTACAAGCTCTGCTCATGTGCAGCTCAGAAATGTTGTGGAAAGGCTTTGTGTATGTTATACTAGTGTTAAATGCGTATTAGCAGGATTGCATGTGTTATTTTATGAGTGAATGTAGGTAACAGAGTAAAGTGAATGTGTTTTAAGTGTTATTATTTTGATACATATTAGTGTTTTGAGTTTAGGCAATTATTGTCAATTTGCAATATATGTTACCTCATTCTTAATTCTGTCAAACTTATTTACCTTTAGACCGAATGTTTTATATAATTTACTGTAGTTTGATTACACCATTTATTGTTTAATTTGTGAAACATTTTAGGGTTAATTTGACAAGCACTTTAATCAGAAAGTTTAGAGAGAAAGTGACTGGAAATTGTTTGCAATTGTGTTTGAAATAAACAAGGTCTGGCATGAGCAAGACGCTAAGTTTGGTCCGCTCTCTATCAATCCACAGAACTGTTTATATATTGGCTACACAGTGCTCCCTCGCTGGTCCAGATTCCCCCAGGTCTGGTGCCTGTAACATTAGCACAGGAGCTGGACTGCAGAGAGGAGGAGATTTAATAAAGCTAATAAAGCTTCATTTAAACGTTTGAGCTAAGAGGACTGCTGAAACCAAAACCAAACCAATATAGCTTTTGAAATACACTATTAAACTGTGTTGTCATGATATAGGTCTTTGGGGGTTTTTGTGGAAACTGCTACTTTCTGGAAAAACTCCCCTAATCCATGACCTCATGGCACCCAAGTATATCTTCAGTCAGTACAAATATTCAAACAATCCTAGCTTTCTGTTAATCCTGTCAAATCAAGCTGCCTTTCTCTCCACAACTAACACTGGTCACAATCCCCTGACTATCAAATACCTCGCCGCATTATCCTGTTTCAAAGCATTAAGGAAGTAAAGATATTATTTCACCTGACATGTAAGAGTTGAGTCACTGTTTCTTACTTGTGTGCCTTTGTGTAAGTCTTTCAGTATTTGTTTTATTCAGAAACAACTTCCTCTATCTCTTTACTGGACTTGTACTCACGTTGGGACTGTGGGTCGTTTAATCGTCACTGCTGACTCAGAGTCTCCTTCAAGATCTTCTTTTAAAGAGCTTCTCCTGTGTGTTTGAGCATCCTTTATGTCCACACTCTCCCTCTCTGCCTCAGGGTGTCCACTGTTGTCTTTGTCACCACAACAGGGGTGTCCCTGTCCTATTCCTCCTCCCTCTTTTCCAAGCTTCTGCTCTTTTTCCACCTGCTTCCAGCTTTTGGTTAGAGATGATACCATGTTGGAGCATTTTCTGCGTCGTGTAGGCGAGGTCTTTTTCTTCAGAATCCTGTCAATCTCCTCAGCTGATGGCAAAGACTCCTTCTTGATCTTCTCGGCCAGGAGCCCAACGCCAGCACCTTTCTCCTGAACCCCGCTGGTCACCGTTTTCACCACTTGCTTTACCTTGATGCAAGATGCAGCCGGTGGCTCGGCTGAGGTCTTAACCTCCTCAGTCTTGGATGCATCTTGAGTCTCGTTTTGAGAAGTTAATGTCTGAGCCACTCCAGAACTAACGACATGATTCTGAGACGCTTCTTTTGGCCAGGTGTGTGTGTTCAGAGGCTTCTTTGGGACCCATGTCTTTTTGGGTTTCTCTGTTGGTCCTCCCAGAGAAGATGGAGCCCAGCCACTGGGTTCGCTGGCCTGCTTCTTCTCATTTTCCTTCACCCATTGCTGCCATCCACTTGTCAGGCTGCACACCATGCTAACTGTGCGGAGCTTCTTGATGTTTTTGTTTGTCGATGGTTTTCTTTGGGAAGCTTGGCCCGGCTGTTTGTCAGACATAATTGCGAGTATTAACGTTTCAATTCAGGCACAATTAAGTCCGGCTAAGTGATCTTCCTTAACAGCTGTCAGATTATCTTGAACATATTCATCTCCTCTCTGCTCAAATCTTTGTTTTCTCTAACGTTTTCTCCATCTGTTGCTTCCTACCATCACACTCGCAGTGACAGCTCTAAAATAGGGAGAGCAAACCCTAACATGATGGTGGAAAGTATTTGAGTCACCCCAGGCTACCAACCTGATCGTCTTTCCCTGACACTAGTCACCCCATACAGACTCATGTTTCATCACAGATTGTGGAGCTTGTAACTAGAGTTAAACAGGGTAGTAGACCGGGGAGTGCTAAGCTTAATTGCAAATAATGACCAAAAGACATACCACTTGATATGTACTCATAATATCCCTTTAACCCCTTTACCCTTTCTAGCTTCAACGGATATTAAAAACAATATATAAGCAAAATGCAAAAATATGTATTAAAATTCACTCAGTGCATTATACTGCACTGTTAACAGATTGATGATAACCATCCCTTATCTTTTATCTTTAAAAAAATACTTGAAGTATAACTAAAATAAGTGAAGTAAGTAAGCAAAAGTACAAAAGTATTTACATCAAATTGCACTTAAAGTAAAGAAAAAGTCTTGGGCAGAATGGTTCCTTTCAGAGTGTTCATTATACGTCATATTTTAAGAATATTACACTGTCACAGTTGGCTTAGGTGGAGTGAATTTTAGTAAATTTATATACTGTTGGGTACTGTTATCTTAATCAATGCCTCATATTTAATGAGCTGATGTTTTCAATGGACAGTCTTAATATGAAAAGTACCTCATAGCACAGAAAAACAACAACATAAGATCCAAGTATAATTTCTCTGACACATTGAGCACCAGTAGGATAAGACTTCAAAACATTTTCCAGAGACTTTCGATTTGAATTGACTTTAACAATTTACAGAATATCAGTGTAACTACTGCCATAATTTCTAAATGATCTTAGAAATAAAGAAATGACCACCAGTGTGAGGCTGAAGCAAGACTTTCTAAAGATTGAAGACACTGAGGTGTGAAACTTTTAGAGAAGAATATGATACCTGAAGGAGTCGAGGAGCTCCTGCTTACGCATGAAGGGGTTTAATCTTCCAATGCAGCTGGTAGTGAGATCACAATTCACCCACTCACTTAAGTATCCTGACATTAATAACATCAAGACTTTATGCACAGCAGAACTGAGCCTTGACAGCAGCGTTTAGAGAGCTGCACTTTATGAGAAGACACATGATGTAAGTTTATGTGTGTTGGTTTTTCATATTAGTGTTTGTAGAGGAGGGTTTTTATAAATAGAACTTGGCACACACAAATGCGCACAGACATGAATTTGCAGCTGTTGGCAGTCTGTCATGGAGAGTGGAAGTGACTCATCGAGCATCAGCACAGGACGTCTTCTCAACCCAAGTCAGCGAGATAATACATACGGTTTCTGGTCTGAGAGGAGGGTTAGTGCTCCACCACAAGGACAAACAGGCTCATTACAGTTTTCCAGGGATAAAAACATAACACTTGTTTGAAACTGCTTTTTGCCACTGATGTGTCTTTTTGTTACTCAGTGCTGTGTCAGAATGATCAAAACACACAGCAAACAGCCACTGACATCACAAAATCATCACCAGCTCCCTTTTTGTTATTTTTAGTTACAATGAAAACCATGTTGTGTAGTGTGTAACATTCCTTCCGACATGTCATGCCAACATCTTCTGATTAAAAACCATGCTACAGGACTTCCTCATTTTAGAATGACACGCAAGAATCCACTAACTTCTTCCGTTTTTGTAGCTGGGCTTGGATGCAGTGGATAAATTGTCCTATCAAAAACGCCTCTGTTAGTTTATATATAATAGTTGCAAGTCACATTAAGGACACACAGTCCAACTGTCACATCTAAGACAACCCTTAAACCCTGCCTCCTTTGTGGAACACCACCTGGAGCTTTTCCTAAATTTGCCTTTTCCAAGCATAGCTGGAATTGATTACAGGCTTCGAGGCTGCTTATATTTTTATGTGACAGCCTATCTCCAGGGACCTCGAGCTATTTTGATGGCAGCAGAAGCACTAAATCTGTGCCATCTCTTTTTAAGACGATGCCAAGAGGAGGATCATTCATCCTTCCTTCACAAAATAATGCCATAGCTAGAGAGCTTTTGTTCAGAATTGAAGAAAAATAACAATAGATTTTTTTGTTAAATAGATGCACAGTTTAGTATAATAATAAATCAATAAAAAGCTTCATTTGAGAGTGATTTTAAACAATTTAGGTTAAATGTGAGGGTAGTAGTCTACCAGTAGAGGTTGCTATGATTTCATTGTTGAAACTCTGGAACACTCCTCAGCTCACTATTTAGTGGTTTTACTCCAAACCCCCAGTATGAACATCTAAACCTTTCTACTAATAAATCAGCAGCCAGTCACACTGTACATCGAATTAAACTGTTTTACGCAGTTTATTATATCAAATAAGTGAATTGTATACCACCTTGTTAATCAATGTTTTTATTTATGCGGCTGCCTTTAAATCTTACCTTGTAGAGTGAAAAATAGAGGGGTTACGGGGCTCCGAGATACAGTTTCTGAAACACTGAATAAGAAGCAGCTCAAAATTAACACAAAATACCAAACAAACAAATAAAAGTGTATCCATGGGTGCTAAAACTGTTGATTATGTCCATCAAAATGCTGATAAACATCTGCTGATTTCTATTAGGCTTTGCAAAGCAGTCATAACAGACTGACAATGGAAGAATGTCTTGAAATGTTTTTTTATTCTGTTTCAGCCTCTAAAAATATACCTCAGCTGCAGGTGGGAAGCCAGTGCATTTCCTTAAATTAGAGGTTACTCCGTGATTTGGGCCAAATAGACCGGGTGGTCGACTCCCACTTAAGCCAGAGGAGGTCCATATCTTGAGAGAATGCACCTGCGTTTCCTGGTGCTTATCAACATCTGTTATTGCTGCTTTGTTTACCTTTCACTGCTTGTTCTGAGATTGTTTTATTTGGCTGGGCTTCTTATTGTGCATTAATTGTGCAGGAATGCATCTCTCAAGCTGCTTCTCTGACCTCTGTATGTGATGCTGGTTTGTGTTATGCTTGGGGTGATCTTGCACATAATTGGAATCCTGTTGTTGCAGTGATCAGATCAACATCCCAGCACATAAGATGTTCACAGCTCTCGTCTTGATTGCAGCAGTATCTTAAATTCAGTCAGAGTTTATTTGCAGGGCCAGCAAAATAAGTAAAGGAAACAGCTGTAACCAGAAGAGGATGTTTTTAATTCTCTTGATGGACTCAATTAATTTCCAGATTTATCAACAATAACATCTGTAACTGTCAAACATATGGCTCTTGACAAATCATCTGAAATAAGACTAAACTACAGTTTTTGATCCAACTGTAGAGGGTTGTTGCCTTTCCACGATGTTGACCTCAACAAAGAAGCCAACCGCACAAATCTGTCCTGGCCCAGAAAAAGTAAACCACGATGTAATCCACTAATACTTCCTTCCGAATGAGGCTGTATGTTATTGTTTGGCTGTACCACTTGGTCCTGATGAATAAAGATGGGAAAGACAGTAAATATAAGCTAGCTCAATACAGGGGTCAGTGAAGGCCGGCCACAAGGCTGAGGAGAAGCCTCGTCCCCTGCAGAGGGGCCGACAGGATGACAAAGTGCACCGCTGGGGCCAGACGATCTCATTTAGAGGCTGAGGGAGAACTGAAGGTCCCTGGTTTGGATTTATGTGACAAGTTTCATGACAATGTTTTACACGACGAAGAGGATGGAAGCAGAACAGGAAGGAATATGATAAAAGATAAAACAGGAGCTGTTTGAGTGACAAGTGTTTACAGTTGCAGAGGCTTTAAAAGGCACTGTTTTATGTTAGAGATGTTTTTTCTGTGTCACTGATAACTGGTAAAGGCTGAGTCTACAGACATGCTAGCAGCTCTGTGAGGCTGGACTTAGGCAAAGTGGTGCTCCATGATGTTAACATCATCATACTAACATCCTCACAATGACAATGCTAACATGCAGATGTTTAGAGGGTATAATGTTTAGTGTGTCAGCATGCTAATTGGTGAGGTTTAGTCGACTGTTAATGGACACCCCTTCCTCAGTGGGTAAAGATTAGAGATATTTCCAACGTAGGTTATTTAGCATATCAATATGCGTCCCTCTGTGTGAACATGCTTGAAATTCTGTGTTGGGCCACATGAAGTGAAATATCACTACAAATATGTTAAAATGTACTTATTGTGGGCTGAGGCCTTCTTGTGTGGAGTTGCATGTTCTCCCCGTGTCTGTGTGGGTTTTCTCTGGGTGCTCCAATTTCCCCCACCATCAAAACATGTATGTTAGGTTAATTTCTCCAGTCAGTGCTCTTGCCCGAGGTACTGGCTCAGATCTGGAGTTGATTGTACGCCGACTGCCCCCTTCTCCTGGTACTTAGGATGGGTTGAATCAGAGGATTAATTTCATTATGCATTTCACTATATATGATTGTATATGTGATTAACAGTTCTCAATTTTTTCATTTTCATAATTTTAAATATATTGAAAGGACACAGAAAACAATATCATGAAGAACAGAAAGGTTAGTTTTGCATAGGAAGAGTTTATTGATCAGGTTGATTTTCAGAGTATTTTTGTGATGTCAAATATATAGTAAAACATGGGCCTTTTTTTTAGACACAGTCTTGTTACCAGCGATCTTATAAAAACATGTTACTTTTGGCTTGCATGGCGTCAGTCAGCAATCACACTTCATTACTTCTGACCGTTGCAGCCTCTGGAGCAATAATTGGCCACACACTTCTCACTTGTTACATCAACTTTTATAATGTTAAGGACACTGAGCTCTTTTTGCTAATTTTCCAACATGCCGCAAGAATAGGCAAATGAAATAACACTCCATTTTAAGTAATTGCATTAAGCAAGCAAACAAATGCTCTTTAGCTTGAACCTCTTAGGATGTCTTAACATGATTCAAAGTCTCTCTGGGATCCATGTTGGCTGATTTGGACTAACATCTGAAAAGAAACAGCAAAGACGCTTCTTAACTCTTTCATCCAACTAAGAAACCTTTATTATCAGTTTGAATGGCTCCTGCCAGGGCCTGCAGCCTTTCTTTGCTTCACACCCTCTGTGTACACCAAGTGTCATTCTTACTCCCACAGACCATCAATCATATCAAGCTCCTTTTCAGTTTTTCTAGATGAGGGAGTCCCTCACCTCAACTCACGTTTACATTCTTATTCTACTCCATTTATTTTCCTAAGCCACAGGACTTTCTACTCAAAACCAGGATTACACAATCCCAAATCACTTTATAATTACAAACATAACAAATGTTAAGGTTTTTCTCTCTACAATTGGACAGAATATATTTTACTTTGATAACCAATAGGAGCAAATGGCAACCATTCCAGTTATAAAACTCAAGAAACTAGTTGATAAATGTTGGCCTTTGGTAGTCTGGGGAAATCAGAGATCAGATAACTTGTTGCTGTAGATTTTGAAATATATACTGGAAATGGATATTGCCTCAGTTTGATACAAAAGTTTGCACATTTGAAGAGAAACAGTGATTATTTCAGTGTACAACATTGCAGAGACTGCACAGATGGTTTGGGATTATAACGTACACTGCAGTGAAAAAGAAAATGACTTGGAGTTGCATGCGTTGATGTCAGCATTTACTGTAATGATTTCAGGTTGACTTACATTTGGTGAATTTATGAGTTCATTCCCCAGTGCCCTTTTAGCACCATACTCTGTGTTGTGGCAGCTTTTAAAATGTTTACTTTATCGCTGGTTGTTTCCATGCCAGTTGTGTGGTTCAACAAATGATTTCTTCAGTTGCTGGTCTTGGTGATCTCCCCACAACATGAAAACATTTAAGCCAAGTCATTAATTTAAACACAGGCAAAATGATGTCACTGTCACAAAAGGCCAAAACAAAGGGCTTTATTCTTCCCTCACAATGCTGTGCAACTCACAGGTATGCAGCGAGCTGAATGCACTTCCACTAAAGGTTGAAGACAGCTGTTGGCCTTTTAAGTCTATACTGGAAGCAATTGTGAAATGCATAGATATTGTCATATCAAACTTAAGGGTTCATTTCCACCAAACCAACTTTGGTGATTGTTGGAAAGACTGTGGAAAGACTAACATAGATAATTTTGGTGAGTTTAATTTTGTTTCTGTTCCATTGTTTTGGTCTGAGATTGTAGTGCTCGAGTGCAACATCCAGTGCAAGTGAATTTCATATTCATAACCTTAAAAATAGGTATGTATAAAATTCTGGCTTTCACAAAGCTTGACAAGGACCTTTTTAGTCTGTAGTGTTAATGACAATCTAGTTTTACTAAGACATCAATAGATATGTACTGAATGGATGAATGGATCAATATGCATCAACAGCTGTTTAAGTGAATTTCATCTGCTGAATGAGTGAACAAAAATGCATACAGCTACAACAATGCAACTGTCTGGGTGTGACTGATCATGTCTTTATGCTAATTGTTTTTCTCACATCTTTGATTTTAGTGAATGCAATGCCTAACTGACCACAGACATTAGGTTTAGCTGGCAGAAAACTCTCGACTGATAATGACCAATAAAAATGAAGAAAATTTGACACTGAGGTGTAATCTGTGTTTTTGTTTCAGTTAATCTTAAATATTTGCCTCTGATATTAATTGGAACTTAATTATTCTATATTTGAGTACATTACTTAACTATTTACATCTTCCCTTATTTCTACACCAAAGCTACACAATGAAAATAGGATCATATCAAAAGCTGTTGAAGTCCATCAGTCTTGCTGCTTTTGTCTGGTTCTCTGTCCCTTCATCCTGGGATGGCGCATTCTGGTCACTGCAATGGATCCTCTTTTTGTAACATAATAATGGTTCGTGCAGGTGGATATCTTATTGTACTGGATTAATGATACCCAAATTAAAGGCACATTCTAAACGCATTTTATGATAAAATCTAATAATGAGGATGATGTTCTACTTTTACTTCAACTTCCTTACTCTACATACCTTCAGTGTTTTCATTCATTTTCATGTGCGCAGGTGGTCTCTTTAGGGGATTCAAAGGCCCTGAAGGTTCATACTGCAGGTACTGTACTATGTACTATCTAATCTGGTTAGGATCCAACATTGTCCGTCTGCTTGCAGCTCGGAACCCCACCTTCCTCAGGGAGTCCCATCGCCTCGCCAAACCTCAGCTCCTCCTCAGTTAACAGGAAAGGATCCATTTTCAGCAGAGCAACCTGGCTGCGGATGTAGGGATTCGGTGTGCGTACGTGCGTATGTGGAGATGACAAGTGGAACGCCACTTTGCTTGACATCCTGAATGTCCAGTGGAGACAAAACTTCCCCTAGTTTAGAAGTGGTTCTCAGTACCTCCTGTCCTCACACCAACAAAGGACAACGCTTAAGACCCACATAGGTGTTTGCCAGCTTGTGCGGACTCTCTTCACACTCCACTGCTTTAGACTCTATAGAACACATTCCAGCGAGGGTGTCGGGTCAGTGCAGGCGCTGAAGGACACGCAGTGGTTTTCAGACTGCAGTAATTTGTTTAACCTCTGATTAGGCCCAGGAATGTCAACTATGAAGAGACACTACAGGTCCCGACAGCATCGTTTGACACTTTGGCAATCTGTCATTGCCACTTGCATGCAAGCAAGCGAGTCACCACTCGAGACAATAGCCACTGCACTGCCTGAGCAGAGAGAGTTTTAATGTTTGCACCATCTGGTTTTGTCCTGAAAAAGCATGTCGGAAGAAAGCATGTCTGCCTATCAATGGGATTTATCTCATGTCTTTTTGTGCTGTGCAATAAGCTTCCTTTGCATGACATACAGTGTAGGATTTGTATCGGGAGATTTAAACTGATGTTGAAGATATTATCATGAAAGGAAGCTTTTTAAAGTTAAGGAAAGTCTGCTTAAAGAAAGATGTAATGAAATTTTGGAACCCTGACTTTAAACCTATGTCTATCATCACATCAATTTGGCACAAAAAGTGCAGCCTAAACGCAGATTGAAAACGTTAGTGCATCACATGCTCTTTTATTTAATCTAGCAACACAACACTGACCACATGTTACAAAAGATCTTTAAATAAATCTGTAAATCTGGAATTTAATGAGGTAAAAGCAGAGTTATCAAAGGCACATTTCTCCAGGGTTATTATCTTAACTTCCATGTTTTATGCTCAACTTCAAAACACCATTGTACTTCTGGCAGAGTAATAACAGAAAAAAGAAGAGCTTTCCTCAGGAAAGCTGCTTTACGTACACACACATTAAATTATACAATTTTAGTATGCTAATAAACATGTCAATTGTAGTTTTACAAGTTCCAGATACACTTTATCTTCTTGCCACATGTACCTTTAGTAAATACCCCACAGTAGATTCTGTTGTTTTAAGCTGGAAGTTATGAAATATGTGTTCACACGGATCACTTGGTGGGATCATTAATTTCATGCTTCGTATCCAACTCTAGCTCCTTTTTTTTCCCCAAACTGCATTGATGAGAAACAGAACCCGGCCGGATTCTGAGACTGTGTCATGTTGATGTCTGTGAAAAATATTTTGAATGCAACTTGTCTTAATGATCTGCTCTTTGTCTTAAGGTAAGTGGTTAGAATATGATAAAACTGACAGGACGGGTCTTGAAGTTGTTTTATAATGTCCTCTACATTTAGAAGTAAGATTCAGCAATATGAACTTCTTTGTGAGTCTTGTACATGTGGGACACCAGCTTAATATAAGCATTTACATCTTTTGCGAATAAGGAAGGATCATAACGTGGTACTTCATCATTATGCTCAGGAATACACTGCATATCTATTTATTTTTAAAATACATATTACTCGTAGTGTATGCTGTGTGCATTTTCTTCCCCCAGGCGCACATAGCTGTAATTGTTATATATCACTAATTATATGAATGTGAATTAATGTCCTTGTTTTTCATATTGAGCAGAGGTAAGGTGATCACTCACAATCTGAACCTTGGCAGGTATTAGTCGTTTCTCAGCCAATGACGAAGGCAAGTGGATCTCAGTCCAGAATCTAATCCAATAATAACCTCACATCTTGAACTCTAAAAATAATCACACTCGGTCAAGACAGCCAGCATGTAATTGCCAGCTAATACTGCAAGTGACCCTCATAACTATTACCAATCACTTGCATTTCAAGGTCACCTTAAAACTGAGCGTGTGTGTTTCATACATAATGCAGATAGAAATTCAGTATACACTGTACAGTACAAAAGACAATTTCATCTCACTTCGGATATTGTATATAGTTGGGATAACAAAAATAATACTAAAAACACAATATATAACACAATCGTAATATTTATGGGCTGTGTTCTGTGAGCAACATTTTAAAAAAAAGCCATGTCTCTCATTTGTCTCCTCAGAACGTTTCAGATCAGTTCTGTCCTGCAGTTTAAGAGTCAGTGCTGCTCTGTGATAGCGGCTTTCCATTCAGAGAAGTTCAATTTCTCTGTATTATTACAACACAGGTCCCCAGGAAAATTGTGGTTTGAAATCATGCTTGAATTGTCATACAAGCTGAAAATGCGCACAGATTCCAGGTGTGAGATAACACACCTGGACACATTTGTCCTTAAATAAGGTCAAGTTTGTGAATCTGCTTGGGAACAAAAATGAGTTCAGGTGAACCGTGTCTTCCTCCCCATGACTGCTTTTCAGTTCATTGAGGGGAAAGGTTATGAGGCAACAGTAGCACAGCAACAGCGGTTGCTCTGGGGAAGAACCAGATTGAATAAAAGATTCACTGGAAGACTCCCACCCATGGCCTGCGAAATGAGATGAGACAAGAGGATAAAATAGGAAGCGTCCCTCTAATGTGCTACATAGCCATTTGGAAGTTAAATAGTTTGCAAGTTCACAGGACTAGGAGAAGTCCAGGGGGCGGATCATCATGACGGTGGCTCTTAGTGAGTAGCTGGGGCCCTTGAAGTAGTGCCACTTGATACCGTTCAACTTCCCTATGTGTTGTCCTTGGGTGAAGTACATGCCATTAAGGTTGGACGGGCCACAGGCATCAAACCACCAACCTGAGTAGAGAATAAGAAAAAAAAAAAAAAAAAAATTTAGTTGTACATAAAATACAGAGCAAGATGACATAGTCTGATTAAAGCGCTGAGCAACTCTTTTGTATGTATCCAAAATATAAATAACATCGCCTTTTAGCAGTTTTGATATTCCTGTTTTGTCAGGGCAGTCACCTCAATCATACGTTTTGTCCTCGGCAAAGGTTGAAAGTTTCCACGGCCATGCAATGGTTCAGACACCATTTCACTGCTATCTGCTCAATGTGTTAATGTCACTGGGTTCACTGGCATGCCAGTACCTGTTGCTAAACACTTTTGGTACCTCTTTCTATTTAAAGCCAAGAGTGCATGTGCATGAGCTTGCACACGCACAACAACGCTGTGAATGGCATGGGAAACTTTTATTCTACTCGCAAGGTGACACATTTCAACATTTCCCTTAGGTACATCTGGTATTTAGAGAAAAGGTAGATGTGCTTAGACTTGCAAGATGTTTTTTTTTTTTTATCATTTAAGCAACACCTTTCCATCCAAATGTATTGCAAAGTTGAACAGAATTGGCAAAAGAAAATGTGAATGAATGGTTGTTTCTATTCACTACTGTTATGAAATCATTAGGAGGTGGTTCATTGAGATAAGAAGTAGTTGGTGCCAATTCTACTGTCACAAAACCAGAAGAGGCGCCAGACAAACCTCAAACAGTGAGAAACAACACAGACAACACAATGAATATATGACATTTCTGTTTGTTTCATGTATTAATGCGAGGAAGGTCAGATCAGATCTATGTGGAGCAATCATGGATGTATTATAGAGCCATGGGAGCAATGAGGAAACTGTCGTAGCGGAAACAGCTTATCAGTCATGTGAGTTAAATGTTCGCTACTTAATCAGTGTTTCCAGCTCCCATTAAGTGCATTACCTCTTCTAGGAAAAAGAAAACCAAAAACCACCACAAGTGACTGTAAAAACCTTTTTGTGACTTTTTTATCAGTCAGTATCGAAAGGCAGCCTTCTCTCATTATGGTTGATGGTATGAACGGTGCCATACAAATAATGTGGTGTTATGGTTATTGTTATTATTATTGATGACACAGATTTAGTAATGTGTCATTCAAGTCTTTTATCTGAACTAGTAAACACGCCCATGCTGATACAGTCAGATATAGAACATATGCGAGGAATGGCATGTGTCACTCACACAGTGACACATGGCAGCTCTTCTCTTCTCTCCTGTCAGACCTGAATACCACTTTGGCCTACAGTATGACATTTCACAAGACCTGTCAGTAATCAGGAGTAATGTTCTGCCCTTGTTGCTGGCATGCATCACACATATAAATTTCACATTGATTGCTCCTTCATCATAAGACACATACACAACATAGCATGGAAACTGACCTCCTTGCATTTCCAAAACTGCATATGATTTCAGGATGCTGGCGCCAGTGGGAATCAAATATGCAATTGCACTTGCTCCGCTCTAATTTTTGACATGAGGAATTGTCCTCAAGCTAGGGAGCTCTTAAAGGAGGCCTGGCACCTGACAACTTTATAGGTGGACCAATCTGTGAGATGTGAAAAAGGTCGTATCACCCAATTCTGCAGTTTCTCTCAGCTCTACAGGGCATTTTAGCATCTTTTAGCATATTGTTTTGGTTTTAGGGCCTGCAATTTTTTTTGCCTTTTATTGGTTTCCAACAACAGCAGCCGGCTATTGTAAGCAAGGTAACTTTAAAAATTATACTTTACTTTACCTGACCAACAGGTTAGCAACTAGCTGATGAACACAGGGTAGCATTTATCAGCTAAAGAGCCACATATTTCCCACTAAGCCACTTAATCACAAAAAAGAAGCTGGGATCTCCACTACATAGTCAGGAAATAGTTTACGACACCAGCCACAGTTAAGCGGACATTAGACAGTACCAGTAGTACAAACATAGCAATGTCCTGTATTTGATAGTATGATGGGATGGGGTTTCGTCATAGCATGTCACAAATTGTGTGTTGTGCAACCTGCTGTTGTATTTTATTGAGACAGTGTTTTCCCTCTTTAACCACGAAGCGGAACACAGCACATTTGTCCTACTTGCCATCTTTCACTTGTTGATAAACCACAGACCACACAACTGTCACACACATACACATTCAGTGTGCACAGCAGCAATCCTTTAGGATTTATGACCAGTATACTCTCTGTTTTCAGGCTGGAGATTTTTACTGACTTGTAAAAACAGTGGGGATGTCTTCTTTAGAAAAAAGTCTCAGCTAGTGCAGTTTGTTCTCATGATAGAGGAACCCCCCCTACCTTCTACTGTCAGTGCCTTATCCCTCCTGTATGTTCTGGTGCTGGGTAAATATATACATTGCAGTGCGTGTGTCCGCATGATATCCTCCTCCGTGTTCTTGACACGGCATGCTGCAGTTGTCCTCATAAATGTAGCAGAGAAGTATTTTCCTCTTGTATATTCCAGACACTTACATCATTTGATGTCGGCACTGCTCTTATAAATGCAGGGAATAAATCAAATGATATACTGTATATACTATAGCTAGCACAGTGCTGGGTTCGGACCAGCCTTGTCTCAGGCTACATGTTGTCATGCCTCTCCTTTGTGGCTGGCCACAGGCAGCCTATGAATCAAGCAGAGTAGGGGTGTTGATCAGTGATCAGATGCCAGTTCCCTTTAACCCACTGCATCTACAATGACCTAAGAGGTAATGCTGATCTTAAATCTGCACTTAGAAATGCTTGATTAGTACCAGGTCAGGACTCCACATCAGTAGAGCTGCCATGAGGTGACAGCGAGGGTCACTGGGCTCCACTTACACAGCAGGAGAAGCAGAGTCATTTTAAATCTCTCAGACACTTTGTGCCGCGCCCAGGGATTTTTATAATGTGCTCGTTTCCAACCACAGTGCAACTGGGAAGGGAGGCAGAATATAGCCTAATAGGTGCAGATAGATGTATAATTGGCCATGTTAGCATATTGCATGTCTTGCGATCATAATGACCTGAACTAATGACTGGGAAATGCACATTGTGGGGTTGGTCATAAAGCCAATCAAAGAAAATTGCTTTTGTAATGGTGACATCATGCCATTGTTTTCTCATAAAAGCAATTCTGTTGTACCATATAAAGATAAATGCTTATAGGATTCAAATTCATTATGTTATAGTGTTTTTCTGGTAGTTGTACCCATGGTTTCTATTGGATAATAAAAAACATTGTACTCCCCAAGTTAATTGCTGAGAGCAAGAAGACATTGTTGAAAAGAAGTCTGATGGTGCAAGAAACACAAGAACTTTCAGGCAGGTTTTGAACAAATCTTTTGGATTAGCTAAGCTTATTTGGAAGAGAGTTAAATTTGTACTTAAAACTGCTCTAATTGGTATTTTTATATTAATGGATCAGATGACTATATGCGATGGTAAAGCTGTCGTTTGTTGTGACACAAAATACAGAGAATATCCCCGATCTCTGTAGACCCATCAACTCTGTGGAATTGTTTTAGCATCTTTTAGCTCATTGTTTTGGTTTTACAGCCTGTAACTTTACTGTTCTGTCATCAGTGTTGTTTCCTTCCGCAGTAGTCAGCCGTTTTCAGCTAAACAAGCTCTGTTAAACTGACTATACTCTATACTCCAGCACCAAACAGCAGGCAGACAAAGTTATCAACGTGCTGGTGAACATAGTGGAAGATTTTGCAGCTAAAGAGCAGCTAAATATTTTCCTAAAGAGCTGCTGGAGACCAAAAACAGAGATAAAAGTAAAGTGAATCTTACACTTGTATTTCACATGTTGCCATGCTGTTCCACATTAATCTTAATGTTGTGTCTGCTGTATGTATAAATAAGCAACTGTCTGCTAAGCCATTTGCCAGCTTTATACGGTATGTCAATGTTGTGTCTACAACTTGCTGTGCTTCCCCTAAGTCCTCCACTCCTGCCAAAAAAAAGAGGATTATTCTGTACAAAGGTGATATGGTGATGTAAGTCTCCTGTTTTACTAGGAATGTGATTACCCTCGCTGTAATGCACTGTTTTGCTACACTTACCACCAGTGAGCATGAGGGCACATTTGCACATGCAGTTGTCATTGTCCATGTCCTTGGTGCTGAAATCTGCTCCGTGGATTACTAGACTGCTCTGTCTGCCTGCAGTCCCACTGTGGCTTTTCAGGAACAGTCTGAAAGACATCAGGAGAAGGAAAAGGAGGGAGTAAGGATATGAAAACAGATCAGGGGGAGGAAGAGGGAGAGGAGTACGGTGGAGTGAGCAGTATAAGCAATAAAGACAGAAAGAAGAAATAACATGCTGCAAGAAATGTCTCCTGAGAGATATTTATTTTTTGTTGTGATTAAGTACATGTAGAACACCTGGAACAACACTAAGAGGGTGAAGAATATAAAATAAAGAAGGAAATAAAGAGAATGCATATGAAAGAAATGCAGATGGAAAGCGAGAGAGACAGGGAGAGGAAAGAGCTTGTAACGTAAGGAATGTCCGAGATTCACATTTCCATCTGCAGGGCCACAGTGCATTAATTTACACCACAACAATGGACTAAATCAACAGCTAAACAACAGTAAAAGAGCAATAAGTAAGTTGTTTAACCTATCATACATCCAGTGCTGGACGGGAGCATGCAACATATCTCCTTGTCTTGTGATCAACAGTTCCACCTGTATCTTTTCATGATGTTACATTGCTTTCATCAATCTTCACATTTTGCTGCCAGTCCATATATATTTTCTGCCAGGCCCAATTTAAAGGATTTTATATTCGAAAAGCATGTTAGAAGACTGCAGGCATGCAATAACTGTACAGTGCATACTGTGCAGATTCTATAATATCTCTCTCAGGGTTTGTTCAGCCCAAACTGAACATCTTGAATGTGTAACAACCACCACTGTTAGAAGACACAGAGATCTAGGTTGCTAAAAAGAGAGTGAAGCTGAGAAAAAGGGAACAGCATACAGGAGAAAACTCACTTTAACATTGTGGAAGGGAGCTGGATGCAAAAGGATGACATTTGTTGTTTGTGTTAATTAAATTGGTGTGAATATAGCTGGTTATGCTTCCCATTTTTTTTATTCTACTCCAAAAAAGTTACTTCTGTGCATAGTTTTCTGTGCACATGAAGATGTTCTCTGTTTATGTACTCTGAAAATATATGCCATAGATTAAACATGTTCTACAGAAGGCCCACACCACAATAAATATACCCATACCATGGAAGAGGCTATGAGACAGTATTAAAATTTCTTGCCATCTTTTCACTCTGACGATTATTACAACAAACAGCTTGTCTATAGGGGTGATACGCCGTCACACCCAAGCTGAATTTCTTCACACACTTAGTACTCAACACACATATTGAAAACTAATATCCAACTTGGAAGCAGATTTCTTCAGGGTGTGTCTAACTGTGAACTCACTTGTGGTGCGAATGGGAATAGCTGCATGCAGATCAGACAGTTCCTTCATCCCTTTGACAGCTCTGCCATTACCATCAGAACACGCCTTCCCCTAATCTCCTGCATCGCACATTTTTCCTCTTGATGTCTTTGTTTCTCTCACGGTCTCTCGGTTTCGCTTTCCCCCAACAGAAGAGATTGCACATCCAAAGAGCAGGACTGCAGCACCACGCCAATGAGCTCTCTGTTATTAAGTATGGTTCACTCTCACTGAAAGCAATTTCCTGAGTTCATTTCTGGACAACAGGGGACCATGGGTGTGTACTGAACCTTGCACCTAGTTCGGGTTTTCCGATGAGAAAGTAACAAACACAAATGTTTTCAGGAGATGTTGAACACTCTGTATGCACCTCCAACCTTTCTGAAGCTCTGAGGCATCAGGTTGAATACCTCAAAGAAAGAGACTGGTAGACTCCCCAGGAAAGAAAGTCATTTAACGTGAAAGACTTCTGTATTTGGACAGCTGTGTAAATGGCTGCAGTGTGAGTGCAAGTCACAGTGGGGAATTCAGAAAGCCACTAAACCAATACATGTAATCCTACAATAGAAGGGTGAGTCATGTGTCTAATCAGTGGCACCAAATGGCCACTGAACATGGCAAGTTTGGATAAGAACTTGCAAGTATATTATAAGCACTTGCGTGGGTGTAAAAGTGTGCAAGTTCCTGTTAACAGTAAGTCATCTGTGACACATGCTGTATTAACCGTTGTCTACAGGGCAACAAATGTCTTTGGAGATATTTTCCAGTTAATAGTAAACTCATATCTCAAAGCACTGCTTCACTTAAGGGTAGCTTGACTTCTATCAGCTAATTCCTGATTCTGAGGAATAAAACATGCGGTGTCAAGGATGAGGTCTGCTTCTGCTCTGATAAAGAACAGACTTTCTGCACATCTACTTTGCAAAGCTCTTACGTTCTCTGTTGTGCTGACGAATCGCCAAGGCACATCATCAAGAGGGATTTTCAGCATGACACTTTGACAAGCTGCTTTAAATAGTCTGCGGCTGTGTTTACCGGGTTTGCTGCATATTTACCAGACCAACAATCCCTAACTCAACTGACATCTGCAGTTTTTCCTGTCAGGGTCCATTATGCACTCAAATGATAAGTGGGATAATCCTAAAATGGGCCAAGTACTGAACTCAAGAGGAAGAGATGCTTTTCCTGAGGCCTGTTTCTAAGAATGAGAAAGAAAAAGACAGAGAAACAGATTGACAGAGAGATGGCGTCTAGTAATTCATGTTAATGAAATGTATCAGGGGACAGACATCTGCTCAGCCAGATCGTGAACTTAACAGGCAATGCATGCTAATCTGATTGTTCTCGTTAAAGTAACTTAGTAATGCGATTGGTCAAGGCTCATTAGTAACCAAAATATTTAACTGTGAGGGGAATAATTTGGTTTTACACCTCTGGGGAGGTCTTTTAATATCCACTGGGGATGCTGGCTTGTTTGTGATCTTTTGACTTATTTAGAAAGTCAGAGTAGCGTCAGTGCATGCCATCCTTAAGGAGTCATTTCACCCAAATTACGAAAAACATATTTTTTCTTGTTTTTATCTTGTCATGCAGCTTTTGGTTTTATTTCCAAAGCTCTGAGCTGAGACCTGTTCTGATCACAAATACCACCCAAGTCAACCTAAACTTTAAAGTTCTCTGGAGTCTTAAAAGAAAGACAGCTAACACTAGCTAGTCCCTATTCATCTGTATAATTTAAAATTAACACAACACCCAGGAGAAGGAGCTTGACAGTGGCACACAGCAGGTTTTGAAATAATATGAGTGAAAACATCTTGTAGGAGTCACTTATAACTTGAGCTAGGCTAAGTAGCTTCCACTTTCCTTTGGAAACAGCATGATGGGTCTTTACAAAAAGTTGTAAAGGGACAGGCTTCTGAAATGGCTAACTGCTGATCACCAATGCTATGTGGAAAAATGAGAATAAAATGCCTAGTATCAACATTCATAAACTATAAAGGGATATGATGTGGTCTGGGAAGTAGTGAACCACAGAAACTGTCAATGTATCTCCTAGCAACGCCGTCAATCAGATGACATCCAACCACTGCCATGGAAAATGCCACCCATTTGAAAAATGGAAAAACTTCAGTTTGAGTTTAATAGAGTTAAGGCAAGTTTTTAAAGAAACAATGTCCAGGTTGAGTAGGATAATAGCATAGGATAAGAGCTTGCTTCGACAGAAAATCCCAATTAAAACTGTACACAACAGGGTCTGACACCAAGCCTTAGTAACTGGAACATTGTTTCTGAAAATACTTTTTAACAGGTAATCCAATGTTTTCAGCACCAGAAATGAAATTCCACACACCCATACTCGTGGTTACAAATGTCTCCAATGGAGATAAATCAAAACTTAGGCAAATAAAAAACCCGAAACTATTTGCATGACTAAATACCACTAGGCATTAATGCTTTTTTTGGTGTGTGATTTGGGTGAACTGACGCCTTAAAGCTTCGATGCAGATTCAGTTTCAGTCATAATGAGTCTATGCTCTGGAGTATTACAGCTGCAAACTGTGTACGTGGGAAATAAGTTGTAGCAGGGTCAGGTGAGGAATCAGATGACTGTGATATGTTTATGTGAGAACACTTCCAAGTAAAACTAGGTTTCAATGAATGGCATTTTATCACACTGCATCTTAAAACATGTACACTGTTCCTACAAGCACACTTTTTAGTTAAAATACATACCATTAGTTTTTTATGTTTAAGCTTGCACATGAAATATAAACAAAGCATCACTTATCTACCATGAATATTACAAATAATGAACACTTAATTGAAATATTAAAAAAGATAACATAAAAACATCCTTCATGTTTGTTGAGATGTACTAATGTACATGTACTCAAATGAAAGTGGTTGCAGCTATTTTGTCACTTTTCATCTTTTGACTGACACAGCCAAGCTTAGCCTGCTCGTTTTCTTTCATCTCCACACATGAAGGCAACAACCCAGGATCCATTGCATGCTGTGACACACCTGGCAATCATTAGCCACCTGAACTGCAGTCTGATTGGCCCATTGCAGAGGTTAATCACCCTGACCAATAGTTTGCTTCCTACTGTAAGGCTGGAAAGGCTGGCTGGCTGAGACCCGCTTGGCTGCTCTTTTGCCACTGGGCATCATATAGCTCCATATATACACTGATATAAACAGTATAGATATATAGGTTTGATATGGAGCATATGGATTGATAATACAATGTTTTCTGCAGTAAAGTTACTGTCTAAGGTATGTGTGTAAGTTTCCAAATACACTGATCAGCACAATCTTCTTTTTTGTTTCATGTCCATTAAAAGGACAATTTACTACAGGAAAAAAAGCTGGTTATATTGCGGTGTTAAAATGGAAATCTGCAAGTTGCACGCTTTTAGTTTTAACGACGAAAGATCATTGAGGTTATTGTTTTTGTGCCACTTTCCTTTGAAAACCACTGGAACTTAGTCCAATTAGGTATGAAAATTAATTCTTCACTTGGACTTTTGGCACAACAATTTCAACCCAAGGCTTATTAGCTTTTGCCGCTGCTTTCAACTGTATTGCAGGAATCTCCATCTGCAGATGGAGTTTGTTTGGTTGCCATGGAGATGGATCTGTTGATATGTGAGTTCAGTAGCTATGACTGCATCCAAATCACTTTTAAGCAAGAGATCCATCTCCATGACAACTAAGGACTCCATTCAC